GACGGCAACAGAGGGAGAGAGGAGACCAGGGGAGCTCGACAGAGATCACCATCGACTTCATTGCCTCCTTCTTCCCGACGCGACAGCAAACACAACGTGAGAAGCAGAGGATTGCGACAACGTGGAGGCCACAGGAGCTCGACAGAAGCAGAGCTTGAATGGCAAAATTGCACCTTCAGATTTCATATTCCATCGGTCCAATTCCATCCAGCATCATCATCGTTCTCCCGCTCCCGTTCAAGTCCCCCATTATCACCGTCTCCGGCACTTCTCTGAATTTTTCATTGGCTCCTTCACTGTTCTGCTATGGCTGTGATTATTGAAGCATTTAGTAGAGCTTTAGTGATGCAGAGGCTTAGCTAAATCCTTCAATTCTGTAGCATAGTATTTATAACTTGAACTTGGAGCTTCAAAAGGGAGTTTCAGCTCTTCTAATATTTACTTCTTTCATTTTAATTGTGATTTCTCAGTCTTAGAATGAATTTTATAATATTTGAATGTGCTGCGATGATTTATATTGTTGGAATCCTTGATTAGCATTTGACATTATGCTGTAATTAACTTTAATTTATTTACATTGTACTTGGTTAAACTGTGTTTTGAAATTATTGTAAATATTTAATAGTAATTCAAGGTAGCTTGGTTATTGGACTAAAAATGCTAATTGTTTTTCTATGATTCTCTTTAGCTAATTGTGTTGAAACAGTTTAATTGTGAGTAATTATTATGCAAGGTGGCTTGGTATTGATTATTCTAATTAAACTGAGTCTAAAAGGTGGCTTTTATTCCATGTTTGGTGGGAGAGATTGATTTTGATGGAAAGGGGATTGGGAATGGTAATGGTAGTGGGATTGGGAATGGGGTTTTTATTTTATATTTGGTGGGAGGTAATATGTGGAAGGAATACATGCATTTATTTTATTTATAACAAGATATATAAAATTAAAAGATTATAATACCCCTTGGTATTTTAGAGCTTGGGACTCCAACCTTATACACTCCTCTTCTAAGAAAAAAGAAACCGCATGATCATATATATTGTTTTAAAAGTAAATACATTAAATTTTAACTCATTTTACAATAGTAAATAAATAAATAATAGATTAAATATTTTAAAAATCAGAAATAGCTTTCTATCGTATCCCAACAAATTTATATACAAAAAAAAAGTAATAAAAAAGTCAATACTTCCTTAAAATTTATCCCAATGAATTATGAATAATTCCTTAAAATTATAAAATTTTTATCAAAAAAAGTTATCACTAGGTCTTTAAAATTATAATCTTCTTAAAATTTAGTAATACATTTTGAAATTAATAATATGTAAGATCAAAAGATAAGAAGCAAATGACAGTTCTTACTATAATTTTTTGTAATATAAGTTCAAGTAAGATAAACCATATCTCACTTCAAACAGTTATCAAAATATTCTTATCTGAAACAAAATATTTTAGTATGTAATGAAATATTCCTGTCTGAAATAAAATATTTCAAGCCTATAACAAAATATACATTTTGTCTTAACATTATTCTAATATGGGTATTTTTGTCTTTTATGCGTTTTAGTCCCAAGTGTGGTGAATTTTGGCAGAATTCCTTCATTCTAGGCAGTTTTTCAATTTTCTTTATTTTCTGGAATTTTTCCAGATTTTTCTCTGTTTGTGTGTTTTTGTATTAGTTTTCTGATTTTTCTAGCTTTTTAGAATTGTTTTGAGTTTCTTTAGGTTGGTTTTTGTTGGGAATTGATTGTATGACTCATGCATGACTTGGTTTAATAGCAATCATGATCTACCTTTGCATTCTCATTTTGTTGCAGGAAATAGTATGTGGAATGAAGCACCTTCTAATTCAACATGTTCTCAAGAGATTAAAGAGTTGTTACAATAGTTAAACTCCTTCCAAGCTCAGCTAGAGTCTGATACACCTTCTAATTCAACATGTACTTGTTTAGACTATGTTTTGAAATTATTATGAATATTCAGTGGTAATTCAAGGTAGCTTGGTTATTGAACTAAAAATGTTAATTTTTTTCTTTGATTCTCTTTAGCTAATTGTGCTGAAACAGCTTAATTGTGAGTAATTAATATGCAAGATGGTTTGATATTGATTATTCTAATTAAACCCTAGTCTAAGAGGTAGCTCTTAGAGTCTTTTGAATTTAGCTAACTCCCAAATTAATTGAAGTGATGATAGCCTTAGTCATTGTGCTAGAAGATTGCTTTTCCATTTGCTATCACTTGTTAATTTTCTTTGTTTATTTCATTCATATCCATTTTATAAACTAAAAAAAATCCCAAAAAAATAATTATTTACTCATTTTGCATTCTTTTAAATTTTGCCATTTAGTTAGTTAAAAAGAAAATCAATCCTTTTCCAAGTTTATTCTTTATCTTTTACATACTTAGTTACTTAGGATTTCTATTTAGAGACTCCCTAAAGAGAATATGACCCGGATCGTGCACTGTACTGTATTAATTTGGTTAATTTTTGAAGTGGACATAAATCGACTAACAGTTCGTTCTTCGTAGGCTCTGAAAGAATTTTATTTGCATCTGCATCATCATTATTCATGAAAACATGTCATTCTTTTCTCAAGAATTCTGTACAGCATAAACCTTCACCTTCAATTTCAACAGCTGGTAAATGGCGACTGCTTTGTCATCTTTTGTTCTCGTTACATCATGGGATATTTTGTTACTGTTATTTCTTCCAAATAACTTATTTAGAGTTCAAATAATTAACTCCCAATCTTTTAGTTTGCAGATAGAAAGTCACAAAACGAACCAACAATAACAAACAACTAATCAGATATTATTTATACGGATATATACTTGTTGGTCTCCACTGGTCTCTCGTACGTACCTTACGTACGTATATTTTGTTGGATGGCCACACGCAGACGTAGATCTAGATATTCATATGTATCAATTCCCTTCTGTATTCCTGTACAAGGCCTCGTAATACAATGACATAATCTTGACACCGAACAAATTAAATAGATAACTTATTCCCCCTCGATGGCCAAGGGAAAAGAGAAAAGAAAAGAAAACTTACTCTTCCCCCTTACCTTCCATTTCCTCTGTTCTTAATGTAAATCTAATTAACTAATTTGATTAGATTAAGAAAGTTAGTTAAGTTAGTTAATTATAAGAAATATAACATGTTTTTTTTTCTAAAATATCATGATCATCTTCGTTAATATCCTCCTTCCCTCTTCTAATTGATTACAATTGAGAGAATATCAATAGAGGGTTATTTAGAAAAAAATTAATAAATATGAGAAATAGATCTTACATTTAAGACCAAGAGTAATCCAACAATCAAATCTTATATTAAGAACCATAGGAGCATATTCAACTATTTATTTAGTATCCTATCTTTAACTCCATGAAGAGGTGAACTAAGTAAAATTATTCACAAGGAGGTTGATAGACATATACACTAAACTACTGTTTCGTATGAGGGAAATGGAGGGGAGGAAAGGAGAATGAAAATTTAATGAGTTCTATTTAAAAAATTAGAGAAGTGAGGTTTTGAAATTTTAATAAAGAGAAGAGATAGTATAAAATAATAATAATTAATTAAAAGCTTTTAACTCCACTTTTTTAGTTTTTTAAATCGAGCTTATTAAAATTTTCCTTTCACTTCCCTCTTCTCATTTTCCCTTATACTAAACGCACCCTAAATAAGTATTAAAACTGGAAATTAATATTCCTCTGGTTCTTAATATAGGACTCGATTGTTGAATTGATTTTGGTCTTAAATATAAGACCTATTTTTCATATTTATCAATTTTCTCTAAATTACCCTTATGGATACTCCCTCAACCATTACCAAGTAAAGAGGGAGATGGGGTATTAAGAAAGATGATTATAATATTTTAGGAAAAACATGTCATATTTCTTGTAATTAACTAACTTATCTAACTTCCTTAATGTAATCAAATTAGTTAAATAAATCTTATATTAAGGTCTAGAGGAGTACATAAACATCACATATTCTAGTATGACTTCTTTTTCACGCGACATCATCATATATGTGGATCCTAAATCTTCATCTCAGCTATTTCTTCTTCTTTTTCCCTTTTTTGGTTGCCCCATGACTTATTTGGCCTGAATTAATTTCAAAGGATTTGTTACATGTATTTATATAATGTTGAGTTACAAAAATTGAATGCATTTATAAAAAAATAAATTTACGTCGTTTAAAAAAAAACATTGATAATAAAACGCCCAAACAGAAACATGTACAGATGTATATAAATGCATTTGTTTGTGTATGTAGTTTTAAAAAATCTTGTGCCAACCCTTCATGATATATTCCGCCTATTTAGTATTGTGACACCTCCTTAACTCCAGCCAAGAGGTAACTAAACTAATTAAGCAAACTTAGATGCAAGCTGGTTGCCATACACACACACACCACACACACTAGTGACGGCATTAATGAATGTATTATATTAAAAAAATTGTTAATTTTTTAAACGATAAAATGGCCTTTTGGCTTCATCAATAATTCCTTTTCGTTGTAATTACTTGTCAAACAATATATCTTCCATGTAAAATGGAATTCGTTTGAACTTGTCCGGACTTACAAATATATAAACGACGAAGTGTAGTATTACAACAAGAGCCACTAATTCCTTTCTTCTTCTCTCTTCTGAAATTCGTTCAAATTTGCCATGGGAGAAGCTCAAGAAGTGAAGCTTACCAAAATAGGTATAGGTCAATTAATAATGTAAATAAGTTTGATCTCTCTTCCTCTGCTGAAATTACGAATACACAGCAAAAATTTGCTCCGTATTCACAATCTTGTCTCCTGATTCTACTGTTTTGACACTTTCAGATGAACTTGTGTTCTAATGTCATGTTCTTATATATAGTTCAGGGACTAATATTTTCATTTATTTATTTCTTTCAGTATCTGAAGGAGCAACCGAAACAATCCCTAATGGGGTTAATGGTAATTTGTGAAGCCAATCAAGCACACGAGTAATCAAAATGAAAAAGAGATATCAGCGTTGGTTAAGAATAGGCTTGTACGTTGTCCTTGTGTTGGTGGGCCAATCAAGTGCAATACTCCTGGGAAGACTCTACTACCAAGAAGGTGGAAACAGCATATGGATAGCAACACTCGTCCAACTTGTGGGTTTCCCTATTCTTCTCCCATTTTATACTATTCCTGCATCCAAACACTCCATTCACCATAATGATAAGCAACCTTCTGCTTCAATGCTGGCTTCTGTCTATGTCTCTCTTGGCCTTCTTCTTTCATTAGATTGCTTCTTATATGCTGTGGGTCTCTCTAACCTTCCTGTTTCTACATATTCTCTTATATGCTCATCAAAATTAGCCTTTAATGCCTTCTTCTCCTTCTTCCTCAACTCACAGAAATTCACACCTTACATCATAAACTCTGTATTCCTCTTAACAATCTCCTCCATCCTCCTCGTTCTTCAAACCGGTTCTTCTGCAGAATCCAACAGTGAAGTTTCAGACAAAAAGAAATATGCGATTGGGTTCATAAGCACACTTGCTGCTGCAGCTGTGTATGGATTGATGCTTTCTCTGACACAGCTTGCATTCAGTAAAGTTGTAGGGGGCAAAAGTTTCAAGGCGACTTTGGACATGATAGTGTATCCGTCACTTGTGGCGTGTTTGGTAACAGTGATAGGGCTGTTTGGAAGTGGCGAGTATAGTGTTTTGAATGCAGAAATGGAGGAGTATGAGATGGGGAAGACAAGTTATGTGTTGACATTGAGCTTCACTGCTATAACATGGCAAGTCTATGCAGTGGGGTGTTTGAGTTTGATTGTGGAGGTGTCTTCTTTGTTCTCTAATGCCTTAAGCATTGTGGGCTTGCCAATTGTGCCAATTTTGGGTGTTTTGTTGTTCCATGACACAATGAATGGATTGAAGGTGATATCTTTGGTGCTTGCTTTTTGGGGCTTTTTGTCATACGTTTATCAGCAGTATCTGGATGAGACTGATTCCAAAGACTCATCAACAACACACAAGCCATAGTGATATTTCAGAGATTCACAGTCTCACACGGTGAAAAGAATAATGAATTATACATGTTACTTATTTATTTCTCCAGTCCCACATATAAGACCCATTTTGTAATGTAAATTACACTACAAAGGTGATCTTATATTTAGGACCGAAAGAGTATTTTGTTTTTGGGGGGTTATGATTGAGGCGTAAATAAAATAATGATAGTGTATCGTATAAATGGAAAAGGAATGGGAAATAACAACTATTACATGTTTGGTATGAATATATATATATATATATATTGAAAGATATATGTAGGAAAAGGGAAAAATAATGAAGACACTTATAAATTAAATTGCCCACAATGATGCAAATTCTTTATTATGTAATAAATCAAGGGCTATAGTTGGAACGTTAAAAATTGGGTGAGGACATTTTTGTCAAGAATTATCCTTCCCTTGAATTCTCCACAAACTCTTTTCGTTTTTTAGGAAAGCATCCTCACATGTTAAGCTTCGTTAACACCACAGAAAGAAAAAGACCAACAAAACAATGTTTAAATATTTTATTGCCTTTCATTGACAGCTTAATTTTGCTCAAGTGCTAACCAATAATATATTGCAATAATTGAAGCTCTAGGGCCAAAGCTTGTATGTCTCCCTTATTATAAGTTAATTACTTTCTTGAAGGAAATATCATCATCATCGGTGGGGCAAGCTTACTCGTAACTAAAACTGTTGTTGTTGTTATTATTATTATTACTACTACTACAACTCCAAGACCCAACACACAAGGCACGGTGATATTTTCATATTCACAGTCTGACCCAGTTGTCTCGTTTTTATTTTATGAAGCCCCTGTTTGGAACCACAACTCAAACCACTTATAAATATATACATATATATATACATCTCGTATTTCATAAATTATGATTGACAAGCTGCTTATAGGCTATGCCAAACAGGCATGAAACTCGTCATATTTGGCAACAAGGAGGGCAAAGAAAGGCTCATATAATAATTTATTTTGTGATTCTTACTTAAAATGTCATGATATTGTAATTAGTTCAATATTTTCATTTTGAAAATATTATGTTAGTCTTTTAATTATAAGCTTGGTATATTTTTAAGATATTAGGCCAAGGGGTATGGTTGGAATATTAAAAATTGTATGAGGACATTTTATTTGTCAAAAAATTATATATGCTTTCCTTGGAGTCTCCACTTATTCCCCATAAAATTAACACAAGAGGGGAAAAAAAAAACATTGCTTTATGCCAAACTCCTCATTTAATTTCCAAACCTAACATTCTCCTTTTGCTAAACATGTTCTCTCCACACAATGAGATACATGTCCATGAAATAGCGTAATGGTTCTAAAATTTCCCAAGTAGAGGGCGGAATTGTTCTAATATTTGCGTCAGCATTTTTCTGATTTTATTTATAAGACATTTTTAACATGTTTTATCAGAATAAAATAATTTTTAAATATTATGATTTTTTTTTCAAAATTTAATAACTTTTCAATTTTACTTCCCATTTAATATATTTTTTTAAAAAAATAACAAAACAACAACAAATTAGGGGTAGAAGTGAAATAAATCTAATAAGATAACTTATATTGGGGGAAAAAAAAACTCTCTCTTTCTCGCAGGTAAATAACAATATAGCAGGTGTGTGCATTTAGTGAGTATCATCAACCTGAAAGTCTTCGATCTAGGCCAATAACTAACAGGCAAAGCCGTTGACTAGAAAAAGTAAAACATTGAGAAGTTGGTTCTGATTGTACTCTGCTTGAAGCCGTGTTGGGAGTGCTTTTAGGGACGTTGGACACCTCATTCTGAGTTAATTAATCATTACTATCCTTGGTTCTTAATATAAAAACTAGATAATTAATTTGGGAAGATTAAAAAATTAGTTAAATGGGTTAATTATAATATTGCCTTTCTTAAATTACTCTCATTCAATATGTACATTGGAACTATACTTCGGTGGAGATATCTTATAATCAATAATAATATTTTCAAGAAAACACTATAAATTTGAAAGACAAAATGAATTGATATCTTATATTTAGGATCCTGATTAACTCTTAGGTTTAGAAACAGAGGAGTTAGTGTCATAGTGGATGTCCATAAATATATCTCCAACTCTTTATTAGGATTAATGACTCTAATTGTGGTCTTCATGAACCCAACTCTTCCAAGAGACTTAGCTATGCACTTGCTTTTATCTTGCTTTCTTGAAGTGAAGACGTTAAGTTAAAGAACTTTCATCCAGTGTACGAGTTCTATGAGCCATTACATATATATATATGTATGTATGTATGTATGCATGTATATAATCTTTGAGTTATTTTTTAGTGATCAAGGGGCAAAGGATGAATACGGTCCTTGCTTGTGGCTTGTTCGCACGTCAAAATCAAAAGAATGATAATTATCCCCCATGTCTTATCAATGGATATCTCTGTTACTTCCCTCTTGCATGCTCTTATATTTCTCTTATGTCCCTTATATTTTCTTACTTTATACCTTTATCAACACGACCTGTTCATTAATTCGAATTAGTTAATCTTCTTTAATTTGACTAATCTTTTATGTCGACATCATAGTGATTCGTGATATAGATTATTCCTTGGCTTTGTGAAATATTGCCATAAACTTCTGCAACATCATCTAACTTACGATGGTTGGCAGATGATGGGGGTTGTTCTGCCAAGTTTTATAGAGGGTGGAAATAACTTCTTGTGATCACCTGTCCAAGCATTGCTACAAAACTAATAAAATACTACTAAAAAATAAATATTTTTTAAATGATTTGAATCTTGCGTCTCCTTTCTTTCCTTGTTTTTTATTTAATTTCATTTGAGTGAAACTTGTGTGTGAAAATTTCAAAAGGAAAAAGAAAAGGGGAAAATTTGAAAAGGGTGAATTAATAAAAGACCTTCTGAACAGTGGTGGCAAGGAAAATGTTCCAAAATTAAAACTGAGGTTGATAAAGATTTGTAAGATTGACCTGTCTTTTATGAAAGCCAAATCTCTTTTAATAAGCATAAAAATGGAAGCTATATACAAAGCATGGCAAGAATCCTAGTCATAATGGTGCAATATTGAGTGATCTCTAGTCATGATCTGCATATAAAAGGGGTTGGAGACATTAAAAGAAAAGAGAGGCCAACGCTAAAAGGTCCGAGGAATAAAAATCACCAAGGTAACACATCTTTCTTGGACTCCTGCTCCATTTTGTGTGTTGAGTTTTGAGTTGGGAATTCCTCAACTATGTTTTTAATTTGTCTCTTGTGATTTCTTGCACTTTGCTACTTTTGATTTTGCTCTAGTTTTTGAATCATAAAGCTGTCTCAAAATTCCACGCCTCCGGGTATCAAACTCGTTCTCAACCTCAAACTCATTATTCTCTCTCTTCTTCTCAATTTCTTCACATTAGCCATGGGAGAACCTCAAGTGCAGCTCCCCATAATAGGCACGTCACAATTCTCATCTTCTATATGATACCCAATTTTATATATCTTCCGTTTTCATAACAGAAATCACAAGCAAAAACTTGGTGCATTTTTGTGTTTGTACATATATAAATCTAATATTTGACATGCATGTTATTATACTCTATATAATTATTGGACTTTTTTTTTTTTTTTTTCAAGAGTCAGATGGAGCCAAAGAATTGACGGAATCTAACGCGGGCAGGGAAGAAAATCCCAACGGAGATGCTAATGATGTCCCTAATCAACCAGAGACTGAAGTCAAAAACCAAAGGAGACATCAACGTTGGTTAAGAATAGCCTTGTACGCTGTTCTTGTGTTGGTGGGCCAATCAGCTTCAACCCTATTGGGAAGGCAGTACTACCAACAAGGTGGAAAGAGCAGATGGATAGGAACACTCGTCCAGCTTGTGGGTTTCCCTATTCTGCTCCCATTTTATTGTATTCCTGCTTCCAAACACTCCATTACTGCGACAAACAACATTAATCACAATCAGAAGCAACCTTCTGTGTCAATGTTGGCATTTGTGTATGCCTCCCTTGGTTTACTTGCTGCATTAAACTGTTACTTATACTCTATAGGTCTCTCTTACCTTCCTGTCTCTACATATTCCATCATTTGCTCATTAGACTTAGCCTTCAACTCATTCTTCTCCTTCTTCCTTAACTCACAGAAATTCACACCTTACATCATAAACTCTCTGGTCCTTCTAACAATCTCCTCCATCCTACTTGTGTTTGAAACCGATGATTCTTCTTCTTCTTCTTCTTCTTCAGAATCATCCTCACAAATTTCAAAGAAGAAGTATGTAATAGGGTTCATAAGCACAGTTGGTGCTTCAGCTGGGTATGGACTGGAGTTTTCTCTGACACAATATGCATTCAGGAAAGTTCTGAGAAATGAAAACTTCAGGGTGGTGTTGGACATGTTAGTGTATCACTCACTGGTTGCAACTTTGGCAACAATGGTGGGAATGTTTGGTAGTGGGGATTTCAAAGGATTGAAGGCAGAAATGGAGGAGTACAAGATGGGGAAGGCAAGTTATGTGATAATTTTGAGCTTCAGTGCTATAACATGGCAGCTTTATACAGTGGGGTATCTGGGTTTGATTCTAGAGGTGTCTTCTTTGTTCTCTAATGCCATTAGTGTTGTGGGTTTTCCAATTGTGCCTATTCTGGCTGTGGTGATATTTCATGAAGCAATGCAAGGCTTGAAGGCCATACCATTGGTGCTTGCTCTCTGGGGCTTTTGCTCATATATCTATCAGCAATATCTGGATGAAATCCAACCCAATACTAAAGTCAGAAAAAGTGGAGATTCTCTTAGAGGTTCACCATCTCAAGATTTGAATGAATGAATGAATGAACGAACCAGGTAGTAGGATTAAATAGTCGATCCAAATCCTCTACACCCAAAGAAATGAAGAGAAAAGAGTAAGAATAATGTGTAATAACAAGATATGGACCATATATATATATATGTGTGATATTTTAGCAGCGTTTGATTCACAACTCTTTGTATACTACTCCTCTGGTCCTTAATATAAGACCCATTGAACTAATTTGATTAGATTAAGGAAGTTAGGTAAGTTAGTTAATTATAAGAAAAATGACACATTTTTCCTAAAACACCATAATCATCTTTCTTAATACCCCCTCTCCTTCTTCTACTTGATTATGGTTGAGAGAGTATCATAGGGGTAATTTAGAGAAAATTGATAAATATGAGAAATAGGTCTTATATTTAGGACCAAAACCAACTCAAGAATTGAGTCTTATATTAAGGATCGGAGGAGTATCTGGGTTTCTTATTATAAAACTAACTACTTTAATTAAAAAATTGAACTACAAAGTGGATCTTATATACAAATTTAATTGATAAGAGTCTGTTTTTCGCTCTATGTACATAACTTGAAGAATACTAGTTTCTGAGACCGGCAGAGGATGCCCACGCTCCTAACAAACAAAAACAAAAATACCATATCTCAGGCATAATTCTTATATGTCACTCTCTCTTCAAATTAATGCATGAATGGTAGGATTGCTGTTGAGGATTTGGTTCCTGAAGGATTCAATTAATTAATGGCCATATAATTAGTTGACACCCAAATTGTTACTCACGTGTTGACCATTTTTTTTTTTTGGGATCGAAACGTGTTCAGCATTTTACAATGAATGAATCATAATAGAACCCTTTAATTTGGGAGATGTGCTATGCTCTCTTTCACTATCTACTTCGTCTTATCCTACACAAAAGGTTTATTTGAAAATTTTTATTTCTTCTTAAATATAAAGTTAAATTTGGAGTATCCGATACTAATTATTTTTTCCGTATAATACCCCTATTATCAGAACATTTTTATCCCTGTTATGTCACCTTTTGTGTTCCTTGTATTATTTTTGTGATAGCTTTGCCTGTGTTATACCATGGATGATTGCAAAGAGAGCATTTTTGTCAATTTGATTATAAAAATGAATTTAATAATTATGAAGAACCTAGCCTAGCTTTTGTCTTTGCGAATAGCTAGTACAACTTCTTGTTTTTATTTTATGAAATAATTTTAAAAAATCAGTTTTTAATATTATTTGAGCGTCACACGTCAGGTTCTTTAAGTAAAAATCAAACATTTTTTTAGGAAACAAATTAATTACGTACCCCCAAAATTTTGCTGTTTTCTATATATATATTGGAAAATTAATCCTTTTTTGTAAAATTGAGCGCTAATATTTTAATTCTTATAATTTACTTGAATTTTTAAATTGATCCTTATATCTTTATTTTGTTTGTTCCAAGGAAAAAAAACACTCCTTATACTTTAAGAATTTGAGGTAATCGCTGCGTTAACTTTAATTTTGATGGAAATGAAGGAAATGGAGTGGACTGGAAGGGAAGGAAGAGATAGTAGAATGAAAAACTCCAACCGCATGAATGTTTGGTAAAGAAAAAGAAAATGATAAATAAAAAAAAATCAGAAAAATATAGAACACAAAATATCCAAAATACTCTCGTCTCATTCGAAAAAATTTGTTCCGTCATCTTCTTCATCGCTTAACGCCCCAACCTCCATTCATGTTTAGATGAGCGCAGCAATAAATTTTGTTTTGAAAAAAAAGGGACAGTGAAGAAGGCAGATATGAAGAGCTGCAGATAACCACGAACAAAGAAGCCGTCAAAGGAGGATGAAGAATCCGCCGGCGATAACAGAACCGCAATCGACGTGCTGGGTTTTCACACTGTACCACCTTTCCTCTTGCAGAGCAATTGGACCAAGATGGTCAAACTCGGGTCGGGTCGGTTCCGAGGGAGAATGAAGAAGAAGGCACTGTTGATGACGATTGACCCCAGAATGGTCCATCAATCAATAAGCCACAGCCGTGAACGCGGACACAAAGGAGTGAACGAGAATGATGAACGGTTGAGCGGGTGAAGGGACATTTGGGAATTTCTCATGCAGGAAAATTGGATCCTATCTATATAAAATCGAATGAACGGATTCTCCCATGTTTGAGGGAAAATCTGAAGGTGCTGGAAAATGGTCTTTGCGAAGTAGATGCTACCAAACAGTCATCTGCGATGGAAAATATGCAATTTTCCCTTTCTTTTGTTGGAGTAAATGCAATTTTCTTTTCCTCTGCAAATTTCCCTTTTCCATTGCTGAATTTTACAGTTACGAAACATTTTGCAAGTGAGTCGCGTGAGTGAGTGAGAATATGGACAGAGGGGTAGCTGTGGCCAAATGGGCAGAGAAGGCAAGGCCACGTGCGGATCACGTGCAACTACCGGCCGTGCACCAAACTAATGCTGGTTTTCTCAAAGGGTGAATATTGTCCGAAAACATTACTTTTAACCATCCTAAATATAAGAGATAAATAAGGAGTTTGTTTTAATTCTAAATATAAAATTTTGATTCATTTTATCTTTTAAATTTATAACTTTTTTCAGAGTATCTGATTGATTTTATATATATGAAGGGAATTTTCACCTTGAAACATATAGTTCTATTGCATATAATTAAATATGATAATTTGAAAGAATCCAACATATATTTATTATCAATAACTAACTTAATTAATTTTCTTAATATTTACAAATAAATTATTTCACTCTTACATTAAGAGCCAAAAATAATATATTTCAATGAAAGATAGTAAAAATAAGCACAACAATGTACGTGAAAATTCTCAATTAGAGAATCACGAGTGGAAGAACACAACATTGCATGAAAGATTACCTATTATCCATTTCAACTCAAGTTAAAGTCAACAATATAAGGACTCTTGTTCCTTAAACAATTATAAGTTCTTAGATCTTTTTATAAAACAAACCTAATTGGAAGGTATTTGTCTTTTATCATTATGAATCATGCAAAACACACCGTGTCAAATATTAGGCAAGATAAGATTGAAAAGATATTGTCCATTTGAAAGCTAAAATAACCAACCTAACAGTTGAGCATTGCTGAGTCGTATAAAGAATTGTTGCATGTCACTGGTGGTTGAGCATCATTGTTGAGTTTGAACCCTATATTGTCTGCCTCCTATTTTATTGTGTATGATTCATATCTCTCTCTTTATATAATATATCAATCCATTTCGTTTTTCTCTCACTCATTTTCTATAATTTCTTCGCAATTGACATGGGAGAACCTCAAGAATTGCAGCTTTCTACAATCGGTATGTCAAATTTCTCATCTTGTGCACACACATATACTATCATCTCTCTTCTGTTCATAGATCACATATCATCCTGCAGAAATTTGCTGCACATATATAAACATGATCTCACTTCAATGACATAGCTACTTAAAATTGATGTTCAAAGCTTTTTAACTTGGATTCATGAAAATTACCTGCCTGAGATTAAACAGCATGAGAAGGATGCAATAGAGGAATATAGCGTGGTTCTAATGTGAAGTTGGATGATATCTAAGAGAGCATATGAACTTGAAACATAGGCAGACTTTGATAAATCCAACCACCGGACATATCTATGTAATATAAATGCTTCATGATACCGTGGTCTCTACAGGTGTTTCAGTCAGCTACCCACTTTCTTGGGATAGAATATGATCACCTATGTATAGCTAATTGATCGGTCATTTGAATTGTTTTATCAGAATCTGGTGGAGCCAAGGACAAGAAGAATCCAAATGTTGATACAGAGTCTGATGCAGCCAAGCAAACAGATCACAATGGAGATGCCGGTGATATCCCTAATGAAGAAAGCTCTGCAATCAAAAACAAGAAGAGACATCAACGTTGGTTAAGAATAGCCGTCTATGTTGTCTCTGTCTTGGTGGCGCAATCAGCTGCAACACTCTTGGGAAGACAGTATTATCAAGAAGGTGGACACAGCAAATGGTTGGGAACACTTGTCCAGCTTGTGGGTTTCCCTATTCTCCTCCCGTTGTACTCTATCCCTGCATCCAAAAAAAAGTTTGCTACAAATACCGTTATTCACAACCAGGAACAGCCCCCGTTTTCAAAGCTAGCACTTGTTTATGTCACCCTTGGCCTTATTGTGGCATTAGACTGTTATTTATACTCTGTTGGCCTCTCTTACCTTCCTGTTTCTACTTTTTCTCTTATTTCCTCCTCCCAATTAGCCTTCAATGCCTTCTTCTCCTTCTTCCTTAATTCACTCAAATTCACACCGTACATCATAAACTCTTTAGTCGTTTTAACAATCTCCTCCGTCATCCTTGTCTTTCATATTGATTCTCCTTCAGCATCCACACAAGTTTCAAAACAGAAGTATGTGATTGGGTTCATATGCACAGTTGCTGGTTCAGCCGGGTATGGACTGGTGCTTTCTCTGACACAGCTTGCATTCGGGAAAGTCTTCAAAAGGGTAAATTTCAAGGTGATTCTAGACATGATAATATACCAATTCCTTGTGGCAACATTGGCAACACTGGTGGGGCTGTTCGCTAGTGGGGAATTTAGAGGTTTGCAGGCAGAAATGAAGGAGTATAGAACGGGGAAGGCAAGTTATGTGCTGAACTTGAGCTTTGCTGCTATAACATGGCAAGTTTTTAGCGTGGGAAGTGTGGGTTTGATTCTGGAGGTGTCGTCTGTGTTCTCAAACGTGATAACTGTTTTGGGTTTGCCAATTGTACCCATTTTGGCTGTAATATTCTTCCATGACAAGATGAATGGATTGAAGGTGATATCTCTGTTCCTTGCTCTTTGGGGCTTTCTCTCATACACCTACCAGCAGTACCTGGATGAGACCAATTCCCAGCCTCAGCACAGAAACAGTGATGCTTTATCAAGAGACTCGCTCAATGGAGTATCTGAGCAAGTAGAAAACAGGACAGTATGAAACTGGGAGTGCAAGAATTTCTCTCAACACACACACACACACAGATATATGGAAGCATGCATGTAGTTGAATTCTTTTCTTACAAGGCAATCTACAGATTCTCAATGTTGTGATGCTAAGACGTAGAATTCTTCAGTCTATCTCACAGAAGAGATCATTTTCATGGGTCTCTCATGCACGTGATACGCATGCAAATTCTTGGAAGGCTCAGTTAACAGATGGGACCACCAATTTATTATTTGTAATAAGTGGAAACAGTTGGGAAGTGAAAGCTTCTTTCATAAGTTGATAAATACAGAACCCCACCTTAATTTATTATAATAAATACTCGTACAATGCAATATTAGTGCCTGGGACATTTCTTTTAATGACTAATAAGTTATATTTTGAATAAATTTCAGGAAAAATATAGTATAATTATGATTGAGCTTGGAAAAGCCACCAATAACAAAAGAATATAAATTTTTGTCCGGTAGAAAATGGGGAAATTCCCCTTGGAATCAGGCCAAAAAAAAACCCTGGAAAATGTTTCGGTGCAAATTGTTCTTGCCAGCTCTTAATTAATCTTACTTTTTTTTTTTTAACTATGTAATGTATCACAGAGAGTTAGTCAAACCCAAAAACAGTTCAGCAGCAATTATTGTTGTAAGTCACAATCCACCATCCGGCAAAAAAATAAAAAGTCACAATCCGCCATCCGGCAAAAAAAAAAAAAAAGTCACATTCCACCATGATCGATGTCCTTAATTATTGAGCTCTAATAATTAAAGTATGACTTATAATAATTATCTGTTTAATAATTATATGATGCCAGCTTCTTGGCTGAGTGGTACCAAGGGTGCCCTTTGTGGCTTTAACACGCGGGTTTGATCCTTGTTACCCCCCCCGGGGGGCGGGGGGGGACGGGACACACATGGGGTTTGATCCCTCCTCAAATATTAGCGTGGACTCAAAACAAAAATAAAAATAAAAATCATATGATGAGTATATATATCTTACGTTCTTACCTTCTATTCTTAATATAAGAACTATATAGCTAGCCAAAAAAAAAAAACTAGATAAAATGTTTACTTTTTTTTTAAATATAATATTTCAATTTATTTTATCTTCTAAATTTATAACTTTTTCACCAAAATATTACTATTGATTACACATGTTTAGAGGCTTCATCAAGGGATAATTTCAATACATACGAGGCATTTTATGAAAGTCAACACTCATTTAATTTATTACAAATAGCCAACTTTATAATTTTTTTAATCTCCTCAAATTAATTATATAGCTCTTATATTAAGTGACATTCAATATATGTGTTGTGTACTTTGTTTAAGTAAATCACACGCCTGTGATTTTATTATGATAAACAATTATATTTCTTATATTATGTTTAAATAAAAGAATGTGATTATATGAATATAATGAATTGTAATTCAGTTCTGAATATCAATTTGAAAGTTCATGGATATCCTTTATTATTTCTTCATACAATGGCATTTTCATATTTTTAACATAAACATCCAACTTCATAATTCAGATCCTATTTGATATGTATAATCGTGGAATAGGAGAGAATATTTGACCAGTGAGACCTACCATTCCTGTATTCTCTGTCTTTTTTTAACCAAACAGACTTGCCTTTCTAATTATCTAGCAAAGGCAATGGATGAAGATGATCCTAATTATTAATTTTAGAAATTGACTATACATATTAATTTTTGGATCGAATTGGCCGATTAAAGAGGTATAAACAAGAATTAAGTTGGGAATTAGTTTTCGGATTTCCATCCTCATCATTCATGCATCAATATCACAATTTGATCTTCTAATTAGGCTATCTACATTTAACATTATTTTGGCATTTTTAATCTATTTTTATTTTAATAGATGTGCTATCTAGAATAGAGATAATTTTCAAAATTTTTCATAAAAATAAACTATCATTTGAAAATTAAAATTTAAAAGCTTTAAATCTAGATTGTCCAAAGCTAGATTTGGCAGACCCAAATTATATCCTATCACAATGATAAGCAATGAAGCAAGAACCCTACTCAACTTGGCAATTGTATGCTTCACTGGAAAACTATATACAGGTGAAATTAAAGCCCAAAAGAATGAGCATACAATAAAATACTCCCCCTATCCTCAATATAAGACCTAATTAGAGAGTTGATGTTCATACTATATATGAGACTTATTTTACATATTTATCAATTTTTTTCTAAATTAAACCTAGCGATATATTTCTAACAATAATCAAGTAGGAGAAAGGGAGAAAAGGGAAGTAAGGAATATGCTTAGGGTGTTTTAGGGGGGGAAAATCATATTAACTAATTTAACTAACATTTTTAATTTACTCAAATTATTTAAGTAAGTCTTACATTAAGGATTGGATGAAAAATATATGAAAGTTGTATTTAAAAACTAACAGATAGCCAACTTTTAAGAAAATATCAATTCAGGTCCCAAAATCAAAGCATTAAATATAATATGGACTATCTGTAGCGTTGGACTCTCATTTTTTTGGAATAAAACAAAATATATTAAGAAAACATGAGTTTAGAGTTTTACATACTACAATAATTTAGCATGAAAATAGAATTATTAAAAGACAGAGAAAAGAAGATAAGAACACAAATTTAACAAATCCATGTGAAAAAGACTCAAGCAAAAATAAAATTCGCTGTCAAATTATGGTAGATAAGTGAGAAGGATACGAAGGGATATGGAGGAAGGATAATACTACCTCTAATACTTAATATAAAAGCTAAATAACTAATTTAAAATATTAAAAAAAGTAATTAAGTTGGTTATTTTTACAAGTTTGTGTTAATCTCTCTAAACTATTCTCTTCAATCATATGTATTGAATGATTAGAATTATCTTTTAGTAGAAACCTCTTACAATCAATAGGGGTATTTTGCAAAAAGATGAAAGACAAAGTGAATTTCAGTATTATATTTATGACCAAATTCAATCTCTAAAAAATCAGTTTGGGTGCTCATCTTTAATATGAGTATCTAATCTGGACAGTCTAAATTTAGTGTTTTTTAATTAATTATTTTTAAAAAGTGATAGTTAAGATATTATCGTTATTTTATATTATATACCCATTAAAATAATTATTTAAAAAAAATCAAATATGAACTATCCAAATCTAATACGAACGGTTCAAATAGAATAAGTTTTGAATATTTATTTTTAAATTAACATCCAAGTCGGTTCTCCCCAACTAGTTCTTATTTTAGGAATTTGTGGTAGTAGCTTGGATCCTAAACTATTAGATTAGTACCGTGAACTAAAGAAATGAGGCTCACGTTGGACCATCATATCAATCATGCAAAACTTAAATGCACCAAATATCTTCAAAAATAACCAACCTAACATTCAACCAGTGAGGTGACACATATCAGCCTCTCTTCTATGATTCATCTATTTCTACGTATCATTATGCCTCTCATTTTGCACTCGAGCTCCACTCGAACTCGTTGCTGTCTGTCTCTCTCTCTCTCTCCTTTCTCTCAAGTCTCACCCCAAAAAAAAAAAAAATTGTTTATGTTTGCCATGGGAGAACCTCAAGAATTGCAGCTTTCCATAATAGGTAAGTGGCATTCTCATTTTTGTCATTTCTATCTCTTCTGTTCTTAGATCACAAATTGCTCAGCAGAAACTTGCTGCACAGATATAGATGATCACACACACACTACACACACACACAGAGCTTAGAGATGCTTCAATGACATATAGGTACTCATTAAACTACCTAAATATGCATTAGAAGGATGATTCAGAGGAACAGAATGGGTTCTAGTAAAGGTCGACGACTTCTAAGACCATATGAACCTGAAAAAAATGCATACTTTGATAAAACCAACCACCGGACACATCTCTCTCTCTCTATATATATATATATATGTATGTATGTATATCTATGCATGCAGTACAATTTATGTTTTATTGCATCTCATGGGTTCTGAAATTCTACAGGTATTTCAGTCACCTACTCATTTTCTTCCTCCAGATTAGCAACCTACAATACAAAATCCTTTAAATTTTAGAATATGGTATATGATCAACCATGAGTGATATAGGAGGTTCCTTTCTATTATCATACAACGTCTATACAGCTAACAGAGTGACCATTTCGATTGTTTCCTCAGAACCTGATGAAGCCAAAGAGAAGAATCTAAATAGGGATACAGAATCTCACTCAGACAAGAAAACAAGTCCCAATGGAGATACCGATGATTTCCCTAATAATGAAGCCACTGCCAGCACCACAATCAGAAACCAAAAGAGACATCAACGTTGGTTAAGAATAGGCTTGTATACTGTCTCTGTTTTACTGGGCCAATCAACTGCAACACTCTTGGGAAGATTGTACTACCAAGAAGGTGGACACAGCAAATGGTTGGAAACACTAGTCATTGTTGCGGGTTTCCCTGTGCTCCTGCCGTTTTATTGTATTGCTGCATTTGAACTCCCCTCCGCAACAAATACCATTCACAATCATGAACAACCCCCTGTTTCAAAGCTTGCATTTGTGTATGTCTCCCTTGGCCTTCTTGTTGCATTAGACAGCTACTTGTTCTCTGTTGGTCTCTCTTACCTTCCTGTTTCTACATTTGCTCTTATTTCCGCCTCGCAATTAGCCTTCAATGCTTTCTTCTCCTTCTTCCTTAATTCGCTCAAATTCACACCTTACATCATAAACTCCTTAGTCCTTTTAACAATGTCCTCCGTCCTCCTTGTCTTTCACAATGATTCTCCATCAGCATCCGCACAAGTTTCAAAAAAGAAGTATGCGATCGGGTTCATATGCACAGTTGCTGCTTCAGCTGGATATGGACTGGTGCTTTCTCTGACACAGTTGGCTTTCAGGAAGGTTTTGAAAAAGCAAAGTGTCAAGGTGATTTTGGACTTGTTAGTGTACGAATTCTTTGTGGCAACTTTGGCAATACTGGTGGGGCTGTTTGCTAGTGGGGAATTTAGAAATTTGCAGGCAGAAATGAAGGAGTATAGAACGGGGAAGGCAAGTTATGTGCTGAATCTGAGCTTCACTGCAATATCATATCAAGTTTTTAATGTGGGAACTATGGGTTTGATTCTGGAGGTGTCATCAGTGTTCTCAAATGTGATAAGTGTTGTGGGTTTGCCAATTGTACCTATTTTGGCGTTAGTGTTCTTCCATGACAAGATGAACGCGTTGAAGGTGATATCCTTGATACTTGCTCTTTGGGGCTTTTTATCATACACGTACCAGCAGTACTTGGATGACACCAGTTCTCCTACTGATGAGCACAGAAACAGCGATGAATTTCGCAGCAACCCAGTATCAGAAGGGATTAATGGAACATATGGGCAAGTAGGGGTAGTTCGTTGATGCACTTTAAGAGAAAAATAGTGGTTGGAAGAAGCATAGATCAATCAAATCTGGACCCAATAATTGATGGATTCCTGTATGGTTATTGCATTAATGCGAATAAATCGAGTCAGTTAAAACTTTCTCAACACAATGTTACAAATTCTCGATGTGATCTGACGCAGAGATGCAAGAATTTTTAAGCAAGCACGGTCATATGTGCATGTATGAACTAACCATATAGGTAAACTTTTAGAAATGCAGAAACAACTGACATGAAATTTTCTCAGCCCTTGTGAACCATTCGCTTGTTTCCAAATATGTGTAGGTAACATGACTCAATAGTAATAATATGAACAAAGGAAAACTAATATTCTAGCCCTTATAGTTTTACCAGTTTTTAAATTAAATTAGGTCCATGTTTTTTTTTTTTTGGTTTTATCTGATCCTTGTTGTTTGCTTTTAATTTTTTTTCCTTTTCCATGTATATTTTCTTTTCAATTTAATCTTTCGCATCCTTTTAATTTCCTCTCCGATCATTCATAGAATTTCTCTGATTATTTCTTGTCACTTTCATTTATTAATTTACTCTTTTGGCTCTTCTGTGAAAGGTTAAAAACTCTTTTGGATGGTAGGAAAAAAGCAAAACATTCAGACTAGTCAATGATATGGATGGACACAAATGGTTTGGGAGGGGGGGGAGGGATAGACGCAAATCGTAAAGATAATATTTCTTCAATTTAAATTTCCTAATAGTATTAAACAGTATCTATATTAATTAATTTATACAGGAAGGAGCATTTGAAGATATGATGAGTCCTCTTTCACACGTATTAGGACATTTAAATACAATTGGTTTGCCCCATTAAAAATGTTTTAAATTTAAAAAAAAAATTGCCCATTTGTTAAAAGTTTCTGTGATGATTTGGGCAGCCATATACGTCTAACAAATCTATATAGCTACATAACATTGCAGCTTATTCATCATATTTTATTTTTCCATGCCTTTGTCGTAAAAAATAGTGCACACAAAAAAAACCTTTTAATTTTTTATTTTTCCTCCTTAATAGTATCTATAAGTTATTTTATATAAAGCCACAACCATTATTTCTCATCACGTTCTTATTTCTTTTTCCTATCTTAAAATTTGTATGTTATAAAAAAAAAAAAAAAAAACTAACGCCACCTTCTGTTCTTTTTAGAATAATATTTATTCAAAAAACATGAACACAACAAACTACAACTTATATTGACATCTCTATCTAATAGTCTTTCAAGTTGACTCACGGACAAAACTGTCTGATTACCACGTAAAAACAAAAAAGCAAAAGGTTCGGAAAAATGAAATAACAATGAAATAGATTTGTCAAAGATACTGAAGCATTATATTGTTAGATCTGCGAACGAAATATAGCAATACTTTAAGACTAATAAATGATATTTCGGCTAATTAGATTCTACCTTGTTCTTTAAATGTAAAAGCTAGATAATTAATTTGAACGGATTAAAAAAAATTAGTTAAGTTAGTTATTTCTAATAAATATGTGTTAACTTCCTTAAATTATTATTATTCAATCATGTACATTGAAACTACACTTGAGTGAAAATATCTTACAATTATTAGGATATTTTTGAGAATATAATATAAATTTTTGAGACAAAATAAATTGAGTTATTATATTTAGAACTAGAAACTAGCTGTTCTATTTAAGGTCAGAGTTAGTATTTTTGATTTTATAATAACCAAATTATATCTAAATCAAAAGGTTAATTAACGTTGATTAAAAACATAATAAATATGTAAAATGTTTTTCAAAATACGCTCATTTATAGAAAAGCTTGGAGAGAGAAAATAAGTGAGAAAAAAAGAAGATAAAAAAATGAATAAAAGAAATAAAAGAGATACCAGTATATACTAGTAATTAACTAATAAGAAGGGATCAATGGATTATTTGGGCAAGTAGCTCAGAAAAAATATGTATGTGGTGATATTTTCACAAATAACTCGCAGTTCTTATGCGGATAATTTGACTAATCCTCTATGGTTGTTACAGGAGTTTTCTACAATGTTCGAGCCGCTAACGCCGCCGGAGCATATTAATGAAGTGTGCATTAATTGTCTCAAAGTGGGTCATGGCCCCAATCAATGCTCTAAGACGGTGGGCTTTCAAGGAAATTACGAAGGCTATTTTAATGGGCCTAAATCTTCACACATAAATCAGCTTGGCCCAGATTACTTCTTTAAAATGGAGCTGGGTTTCCTTCTTTACAGGCCCAATAGCACTTCAGGCCCTTTGTCTCCTTTTAAATTGAACGTTGATACCAACGAGGGTTGAATCTAACAGAAAGAGCTAGTCCCTCACAATTTAACGAATCAAGGTTTGAATCCCTATTGAGAGAGATGCCCACCCGACAATGCTTCGAATAGGATTGTCTCTAATAGGAGGATATCTTCAGGTGCTGCTAACTTGTATCAGGAAGTGATCTTTAAGTCCGAATTTTGAGCTTCCTCTAGTTTTAAATTGCCACGAAGATCATTGCTCGACCTAGTTGCCTTGATACTTTTTCATCTTTCTATCAAACAGTTTCAGCTCTATATAAGAAGAAAAGGGCATTACTCTTGTTATCCAAGGCATTACATCTCGGTTTTAAGTGTCTAGGCAGGGGAGTTAGGCGTCGGAGAGCAATTCTTTTAGCAGGAACAACGGCTATGTCGGTGAAGATCTACAGTCTCTGAGTTTTCGCAAATCTTCAGACGAAAAGATTCACGTGCTCAACACATGACTCTCTCTGGGTTACTTGTAGGCCCAAAATGGACAGTGTCATGCCCACTATTATAGGCAGCAAGAGATTTAAGCTTTGAATTGTCTCTGATCTGCCGGCAACAATTGGGGTCCACAATTACCACCAAGTTTACTTTAGTGGTCGTAATGTTGCATGTTCTCTTATTGCTATTTTTCTTTTTTGTGGGGTTGTTTGTGTTGTTGGTTTGTTCTATTTTTTTATTTCAGTTATGTTGGCGCGCTGGCGTTCTCCTTTGCTTTTTGAGAAAATGACAAAAAAAAGTCTAACATTGTGAATTTTCAATTTAAGAAGCTAAGAGTTAAAAATAATAAGAACAGAAGTAAATTCAACTTAAAATTTTAAAATTCAACGAAGATAACAAAAATATCCTTTTGTTTTTTTTTTTTAAAAAAATTCAATCGCCATCGCCGGTAGCACCACCACAGCTACCAGGATGGTTGGTGCCAACAGAGATTTTTTTTTCCCTGACAGTATCTTTTTTTTCGGTCATTAGAAAGGAAAGTGATCGGAACGGGATTTGATCCCACCACTGATGATTATTTAGGCCAACCAAATCTCTGACTTGTTGTTTTGTGCCCTATTCCTACCTAAACTGGTGATCACATTACCATCGGATTGTTGTGTCCCGCGAAGGCCTTCCCATATTTATTAAATCTTAGTATTGCAACTTGTTTATATGGATGTGATTTCTCGTTAAACTCACGCCGAGAATCCTACGTCCGTTGGTATTGATGCCCTTCATATTTGTTGTAGAAATGAATCTGTTAAAAAGCTCTAACATTTTGGTTACCCTTATCATCTTGATGCCCTTTATATCGGCGGTCTATAACATATATAGAAATTCAGTATCAGATGTTTCAAACTTTGGGTTTACTGTCTTTACTGTCTCTTAAATGTGAAAACATGAAAATGGTTGTAATTGGAATAGCCTACGCAGGGCAATATTCGGAGGCCATGACCTTGTATTTTGAGAGAAATATTAACAGCTGTCACTGTTGTGAGTTATGATTCCATTAAGCGATTGCAGAGGATGAAGCATAATTAATTTACTTTTATTTATTCATTCTCACTAAAGTATAACAAGTTAAAAGTGCATCCAGCATCTCGAAATATTTTCTCAGGTGATCCTGAAGCATTTTTTAGGTGCGTTTAGTACCAAGATTTTTTTTTTTTTTTGCTTTAGTATGGGATACACTAAAAAATATTTTTAAGTATTGGACACACCTAAAAAAAATACTTTGAGGTGCTGGATGCATCAAAAAATACTGGACGGTGGTGGACGCAACTAAAAAAAAAAATTTCAGGATATGAGATAATCACAAAATATTTTAAAGTGCTGGATGTATCTGAAAACTCAAATATAATTATGCATTATAAAATACTTTGATATTAGATATAGGGATGCACTTTAACCCAAAAAAAAAAAAAAACTGGCTAGCAATATTTCATGGTGCTATTATATGGTAAAATGTGATGCCAAAAATAATTATAGTAAAACATATTTCACGCAATTATTTTGATTTTCAACTATTATATGCCAAAAATAATTATAGTATCAATTATTTGGTAAAATGTGATTTTAAACTGGCTAGCAATATTTCATTGATACTGGGGACGGGGGCAAGGTTTTTCCGGGGTACGATACTGGATTAGATTATTTGCTATTAAAATTTATTCAAATTAATTTTTCTTAAAATTGTATCACTTGCTTATAAAATATAAACTGTAAGGTAACATTATTACGTTTCGGATTTTTGTGACATTTGATCTATAATTCAATTTTTTTTTTTTGCCAAAATCTATAATTTAAAACGAGCAACCAATATTTTATGGTGCTATTATAGCAAAATCTGATGGAAAATATTATAGTAAAATATGTTTTACTATGGTATATAGTAAGTTTTTTACATTTATTTTGATTGTCCACCATCAAGAAGTTTCGAGCATACATATATTTGATATAGTAAAACATAAATAACATAATATCTTATTGGGTATGTTTTTAAAGGAGTAGGATTAGATGATTTGCTATTAAAATTTATTCAAATTAACTTGAAATTGTATCATTTCCTTAGAAAATATAAAGTGTAATATTAAACTGTTCTCATAAAAATTAAAAAAAATAAATTTGAACCGTTAAAATTTTCATAATTGCATTATAAAAGATTAATACGTCTCCAAAACAACTTTCGTCCTTAAAACATATTTTTCCCCGGAGTCCTTTTCAGGTGAGCACTCCATTTTTAGAACTTCTTAATATGATTATTCATATTGATTTTGAAAAATTCAAGGGAAAACTAATATGGAGGTCCTTATAATTTATCTTAATTTTTAATTAGGTCCTTAAAATTTTTTTCCTTTTCATTAGGTCCTTTAAGTTTTCACCGTTAAACTATTTAGTCCCTCTTCTTTAAAATTGTTAAATCAGAACTAACAGTCTAAAATTCCACTAGAAAGGGATGAGGTGGTAACAACTACACAGCT